ATTTCATAAAGAATGGAAAAATGACTACAAAAGACTGGAGAGAGTTCACTCTTACATTCAGTGGTATGTATTGTCCACGCCTTTTGATGGGGGCTACGTAGAGTCTGATGTTACGGAGCCAATGTCATCTGATTCCGATGACCTTTGGAAACCTGTCACACTATTTTAAGCAAGACCATAATGATGAAACAGAAAGTAAAACAAAAAGTCCTCCTGCATAGCAAAATGTTAAGAGTCAGTAGCTTAGTACCCGTTTACCTTTAAAGCTATTTTAGTAGTAGATTAGCATACATTGTTAAGTATCTAAATCAAGCTATTTATTCTCAATGAAATAATCAAGGTTCAGGCCATTACTTTTGTCAAAGATTTGACAAGAAAGACTATTATTTAGTAGACCTTATGTTCCAGCGGTACCAAGATTAAACTCATGTTGATGATAACTTTCTGATCCAAGTCTGATCATTTAGATTTATTTTGTGGAATCATAGTGCTTTCGAGCTGTATCTGGTGTTTTCATGGTCTTGCCTGAATAAGAATAGAGTTTATTAAGTGTTAATTGGTTTGTGTCGTTTCTCTCAGGCTGTTTCCACTGCGAGAGCCGGGGGTTAATTACATGGCTTCAGAACTTACCAAGAAGGAAATTGAGGTAAGTGTATCCTCGGAAACAACAAGTCTTTAAATGAACACTCTACCAAACAGTTAATTGTGCATTATTTCTTTATCAACAGTGATGCACTTTGTTGGAATAGTTTCAAGCTGCATTTTAAATCACCAAAAAAACTGCAAAAGTTTGTTTTTATATCACATCAGTTATAGTTTAAATGCCTATTTCCATGTTAAACAAACAGGAAAAGCATTGCCGTCATGTCGACCTTCCTCCCAATCCTCTCATTTCCCGTCACTTCCCTACTCTACATTATTCAAATTAAAGCATAATGCCTCAAAGTGTACTTTAACATTAAGCTCTTCATGTCAACAAACGGATAGACATAAAGATAACTTTATCGTTTTTTCCCCCCAAAACAGTACTATAAGCTATCCAGGTTGAAATGCAAAACCGTTTGGATATCCTTTTAAATGTACACCATGTTGAATATCACAAGTTTGTTTAAACTTTTTGATCAATATTGCAATGTTGCATGTGATCAAAAAATGTGTCCTACAAGTTGTTTGTTATATTTGGCATTTATTGTATATGCTCACCACCAGGCCTTCAAGAAGAATGAAGAGGCCAAAAAGAAACTAGTCGAGTCCTATGAACTCATGTTGGGCTTCTACGGGATGCGTTTGGTCAACAAAGAGACGGGCGAAGTGAAACGAGCAGATAATTGGAAGGAGCGATACGGAAACCTGGAAAGGTAAATACAAGAAATAATAATCTTGTATAAATAAAATTGCCAATGTGTACTTTTCTTTTATGAATTTCTGCTCTCTTGCAGGAATATGCACAACAACCTGCGCATCACTCGCATCCTGAAGAGCCTCGGAGAGCTGGGCTTCGAGCACTTCCAGGCCCCACTGGTGCGCTTCTTTCTAGAAGAGACATTAGTCAAGAAGACCCTCAGCAGTATGAAGCGCAGCGTGCTTGACTACTTCCTGTTTGCTGTCCTGGAAAAGCAGAAACGTCAGGAGCTTCTGCGCTTTGCCTACCTTCACTTTGAGCCAAAGGATAAGTTTGTGTGGTGTCCCAGAAAGATCCAGAAACAATTCAGGAAGGCAGAGAAACGATCTGATGGTGTAGGGAATGGAGATGGAAAAGATGAGTCCATTTCACGGAGTAAAAGCAAAGATGGAGAAGCAGCTGTGCAAAAAGAGGATGGACTGGATAATAACACAAAGGCTCAGAAAGAAACTGATAAAACGCAAAGTAAAGACAAAAACAAACTGTCAGAGGCGTCCCCTGAGAAAACAAAACCAGAAGCAGAGAACGTCGGAAATGGAAACACAGAGGCCGAGTCTAATGATGAGATTGTGGAGAATGGAAATGACTCCACGGATGATGTTGATGAAATGGATCAGTCGTCCAGTCCTAACTCTGCGACGGCAAAGGCAGAGCCCTGTGCGGACAGCGAGGAAACATTAACCAACGACTCAAAGGACCCCATCCAGGAACCAGATGTCATTATGCAAACGGACGAGGATCCAGACACTAAAAAAACACAGAAGAAGAAGAAGAGAGAAGATGACAAGGTGCTGCCAAGCAACGGCTCTGCTGGGGACTCTGCCAGCGAGCAGATGGAGGAGAAAGCTGGTGCTAATAAAGCCACCGGTCAAACCTCAGCCCAAGCCCCCCCTAAGACTGCTAAACATTCCCCCTCTCTCTCCTCTGGGATAGAGGAAAAAATCCCAAGGACTGATTTTAATCAAGTGCCAGATAAGAAGGAAGAGGAAGAAACGTCAAATGTGTCGGCAACAAATGGATCAGTGACGAGCGCCGACAAAGGTGTGTCTGAGCAGACAAACGGGAAGGAGACGGAGGATGTAGAAATGGAATCAAACCCGGTGTGTTCAGATCAAAATATGGGGAGTACATAAATAAACTGGGTAAAGGAGGAGTTCTTTAATTTGATCTTGAAATTAAATGTAATATAGGGACAGAGTATTACGTTAAAAAAACTTCCTAGGCCTTATTTCTACTATATTTGATGTTTAGATATTGATTATTTTCACTTTGAAGGAGTATATGAACCTATGATATGAACCCACTAGTTGCTGAATGTGGGCTGGATGTTAGTCGGTTTCCAGGTGGCCATGAGACAATATTAAAGGGGAAGGCTGGTGGTATTCTATTATTTTGTTATTGCCAACAAATTCCATGGAAAGGTCAAAACCTTGAAAGCAGCGGAGGCAGTAAACGCGTTAGCATTGTTAGCTTGCTGGTGCTAGCCCAGCTGCTCTGTGGCCTTACAGGTCGTAACTGCTGTTGAATCTCCGCCAAACCAACAGTCTCTACATACTTTGACTCCTCCACCTCCTGTCAGCTCCAAGCATACTGGGTCTTAAACATGAATCCTTAAAAATCCTTTAAAACATAGAGCATTTTTTTTTTTTTAAAGAGCTAACTAATTGGACCAACACGTGACGCGTTTTAGTCAAATTACTCAACGGGACTAAATTGTGTTTTGTTGAGGACTGTTTCAGTTTTGTGAGTATTGACAATAGCAGGACGGTGCATGTGAGGTTGACTGAAAATGAAATGTAGTGTCAGTGTCTATTGCAACCGTTTTTGGACAATAGAATAATGTGTAACAGGAGTAAGCTATATGACGCTCGAGATGCACATTCAAAACCTTCCTTTGGTTTTTTTTCACGGGATTTGTCGGCAATAACAAAAAGATTGAATATTACAGGGATTATAATTTAAGGTGGTAATGTACATGGCTGATATTTGATATCTCTACAGAAAACAAAGCACTATTATTAATGTATATCAATTAAATGATGGCGTCAGCATTTTTGACACCTTCACAATTTAACTTTCTTTTGCACTAAAAAATGATTAATTGGGAAAGCTTTTTTTTCTCTTTGGGCTGTTTTTATGTGAGTAAAAATATTCTGTTCTGGTTTGTGTTTCTGCTGGATCCCGTTGATCAAATAGATTTAAGAATGAATTTTCTAAGGTTATATTTCATTAATGTTGCACCATCTGTATGTGTTCATGCAGATTTGGGAAGTTAACTTTTTATTTGAACAATTGAGAGCATTGCCAAAAATGTGATAAGACTGGTTGATTGTATAATGTTTTTTTTGGCAGAACTGATAAAGCTATAATTTAACGTCTAATGTGTGTTTATCTGACATGAGTGAAGTCCATGAAAATGAACAAGCCAGGATGAGCATATGGAGGCATCTTTTATATCTGCTCTTAATTTTCACTATTAGCTATTGAACTTATGATATTTCCATAAAGATATGGTAATAACTTTACAAACAAATTGTTTATATAATGACTTTTTTTGCCCAATTAAATTCCTGGCTGTTGCAAAGCAGAATAAAGTTATACTATTTTTTGAAGCTTTTATGAATTGTGTCTTTGTTTACCCAAAGTCTGATTCTCATAATGTATTAAATAGCCATTTTCAGGTTAACACTGTATAATCTTATGGTCTCTTCCTTGATCTCCCATGCAGCAGCAGCAACAGTCAGCAAAGACATAAATATCACTTTCTTACCAGCAAACAGACCAAGCATCATTTATGACTCACAGAAGACGGAAGAAGTTTAGACGCAGAACAGTTTGTTCAGTTCTCTGTCAAGTCAGGGTGTGAGTAAGGACAGTAAAATATAAATACTGTTGCTGTTTGATGCACAGTTCCTTCCTATCTATCTATAGCTTTACCCACTTCCTGTACGGAGGACCATAAATCAATGTTTAACACTTTATATTGATTTATTTTAAAATTAGATTAAGAATACTGAGATTAAGCTTCTTGCATTTTGAGTTATGGTTGGATAAGCTATTCCTCTTTTATGTAGTTTTGGACAAAACATTTGCACATGTGCCTCAAAAGTAGGATGATGTGCCTCATCTGAGGTAATCAGTTTGTCGATTGACAGAAAATATATATTTTGTTAGCACAATACGATATTCAATTGTCAAAGGAGCTAATTTATTGTGATCACTTGTTTTATGTGATGGTAAACTATTGGTATTGACAGTTTATCTGACTTGAACTTGTGAGACATTGTACCTTTTCAGTGTTTCCTGAGATGTCATAAACTAGACTCCAGATAATCTACAGTGGTCACCTGGTAGGGGGATCTGATGAAGACATGATGTTGAATTGCATTATGGGAAATGTAGGATCATACTTTCTTGAGAGTTTTAGCTTGTTTGGCCTGGTCTGTATAATAGTCTTTTTCATTATGGGAGTAGCCCTTTAACTCCTTGAATCCACACAGTACCCCTAACGAATTCTAATTCTGAGGTTTTGGCACTTTCTAATTGGTCAAAGCATGGACCCCTGCATATTTCTAACATGTTTAGCTCAGCCCACTTTCTAGGTGCCCGAAATTTGTTTTTCCTGAGCTGTGTGTCTCCCTCACTCTCCTCCTCACCTCTTCACCCCCTCACCCCTGTGTGCAGTCAGTGCTCCACATTGAGTTCAGCCCCTTCGGCTGGAGGCTCGGGTTTATCTGGACGCAAGGAGGAAGCCATTCAGGAGCTTTGCACCGCGAGGTAAAGAGAGGATCCGTGCCGTCACACGGGGGGAGAGAGAGGAACGGTTACCGGGGATTTGACCTTTTCCGCATAATCTCGGGTTTATTGAGGAGCCATGGCGGTGTTCTCTGCGCTTTGGGTGCTCTTACTGTGCCAGCTTTTATCATCATCCTCAGCCCAGGTAAGGATTGCATCCCTTCATTTAGCTGGCTGCATCTTATCTTAATGGTGATGTTTGCTTATGCTGGTACCGTTTAATGTTCATTAACTTGCAGAACTGTCACCTGTGGGCCCATATATTGATAATTCATGTGTTGATGGTGATGACAGTCGCTCTCTTTTACAGCTGTTCAAGCCTTGACCTGCATGCTTGATACTTTCCAACATAAAACCTGATGCTTGCTCTGATATTTAGTAGCTACTCTTGTACAATTATCTTTGAGTGGATGTTAGTGGTATTTTGTCTCTCAGGTTTTGCAGGCCTATCTTTCTCTCTCCCATATCAGCCTAATTGTGTGCAGGGTGGCTGTAACTTTCGCACTGTTTGGTGAAGTTGGGGTTATTTTTTCCTCTGAACCTGTGGAATGCACGAATTGGAGATCAGTGCCCCTGCGCACAATGCCACCTCTGTTCACTCCGGCTCCCTGAAGCAGGGGCTCAATCGGAAGGACCTCAGCAAAAAATAACAAGTTTATTTTGTTTGGATGACAATTATTACTGATTTATTTTAATCATCATCAAAAAGTAGTATTAGAAATGTACTGTAGCCTTCTTTTAGTGGATAAGTAGAGATGTAAAGCTTAGGTACACTTGGCATGGTTTGCATTGAATTGAAGATCTCTAGTTACTTTTTTAGAAATATTAACACATTTTATTATCATGGTTGATGCGAAAGTACACCAAAAATTCCTCATCTTCTCTATGTTATGTCACACCACCACTAACCCATGTCATTTATACAGTATTTTTGACATGGAGAGGATGCATGATTTTGATAAATTGTTTTCTTGCAGAGACCGGGCCCCAGAGGAGCCACCGGGCCACAAGGAACCCCAGGGCCGGACGGAAAGGATGGCACCGATGTGAGTTGACTTGATTGCAAAAGCTTATGTTTACTTTAAATGAATGTGCCTTCTTATAATGTCTGCTTCATTGAAATTAAACCAACTCCTGTGAGTAGATCAAACAAATGTGTATCAACTCTTTTAAGTGGGGGTTTTATTTTGTGATGAATTAACTTGGTCTTATTTTATGAAAATATTGGATGTCGAGTTACATATCAAAACGTTTTAAAAGTATTTGTAAATCTGCGCCACAGTCTCTAAAGTTACAGTTTGCACTGAGTTGTGCTCAGTGGCTTCACATCTTTGTCTTGTAGTATTAAGAACAATCCCCCCAGTTACTACTGGAGACCAAGTGTTTTCATTGTGCATAAATGTGGCTGAAATGTCTCTAGATGTTACTTTTTATCTCATTGACTCCTCCCCCAAAGCCCCTCCTACACGCATTAAATCATAACCATGCATAACAGGTAGGCAGGGTTTAAGTGTGTCAACTGAATCAACATGTATGGTTGAAAGGAATTGAAAAACAGCTTAGATTGTAATCATAAAGGGGATGGCTTTGCTTCTTCTTTATTTGGCCATATTAACTCAGACAGTATCATATCAGTGAGCTTGATTTCTGTAGTCAAAATTGTCTTGTCAATTAATGCCGACAATACAGTAACAATCAAATGAAATGCAAGGGATATTACTGTTAAACAAAGTTAGCTGTTATAGAGGGTGTTGGTATATGGTTAACAATTTAGGTGACGAAAGGAAATGTAATTATGGGTTAGCCAAGTGAAAAGAAAACTTTGTTAACAAGGTAAACCCTTTATGTCCTTGACATTTATATCTTTGATTTTTGACAAACTTTTTCTGTTAAATGAAGAGCGACATTGTATATATTGTATAGCCTTTTCAGGAAGTCTTTAGTTGTGATTATTTTTGTGACTGCTCTAAAGTTTGGGCACACAGAGGGCCCATTCATACATTCCCCAACCCGGTGAGACCCTCTAGAGTTTCTCCTCACACCTCCTCCCCGCTCCTCAGCCCCCTGCACAAACCAAACTGAAGCCTTCATCATGTGAGCGGTTTAGTGGTGTTTGTTCTTCCCCCAGTCGCTGCAGAAGCTAAACAGCATATCCTTTTTACTTGGGCTCACTGCTTTAGGTTCTGTTGTTGGTATAACACTAAAGCTATTGAGGGATTTTATCCAGAAAACTCTGTCTTTACAGTTGAACACTGTCGTCTCTGGAAGTATTTGGATGAATGAATGAATATAATGCACATTTTGTCAGGCTATACTAAATATTCTTTCCTTTTTCATTAACAGGGCAAAGATGGACCTGCTGGACTGCCGGGGAAAGCCGTAAGTTTAACCAACTAGTCAAGTCAGTTTTATTTAGTTACTGAATTTAAATAATTAAAGTAATGTCAACCGCATAACGCTATTTATATTTTAGTTGAACAATCCTCTTGACTTAGAAATATAACAGTGTTTAATAAGTGCAACCTGTATCAGTGTGCCAAGTTTAAAAAAGAAAAGAAAACAACCTTCACCAGCAGTGTACACATTAATAAAACCCTGATACAGACTGTTGTCTTTCACACATAGCAAAGTGCATTGCAATGAACCAGGGCCCAACGGGAAGGTGTGTATTCTATGAAAATATAATATACAATAGAAATAATGAAATCCAGAAAAAAAAAGTACAAGAAAAAATAAGAAAAACACTATTCCCCACTGCTCTCCCACTACTACCCTGCCCTCTGACAGGTATAATTACAATGCCCTCCCCCTTTTCTGAGTCCTTCTCCCCCCTGACAATTTTCTGTACAGTCCCTTTATGTAGCCAAAAAACCCACACATTTCTCCAAACCTTCAATCCTTTAATCTTTATTCTGATAAGGAAACACTCTCATAAAGTGCTTTTTCTTTTAAGGGAGCATTTCATGTTATTCATATTAATAAAAATAAAAGCCCAATTGTTCAGTTGGCTGGATAACTGATTTCTTGTGCACTAATCTTTAAATCCATATCTGTGTAGGGTCCCAAAGGGAAAGCAGCAATATCAGGGGAAGCAGGAAAACCAGGCCTGCCAGGACTACCAGGAGTGGATGTAAGTGTTTAATTCACACAAACACACAGACAGCCCTTATACTACCAACACACCACCTTTTGTCCATGTCAGTCCATTTAAGGATGAAATGCCTACTAGTCTCTGTTACTAAAGTGAAATGACTATCGATTGATGTTTAAAATAACACGAGTAGAGCACGAGGCAGTGATGTTTACAGAGATATTTGCTTGCTCTTCAGGGTTTGACAGGTCCTGATGGCCCTGCTGGGAAGGATGGACCCCATGGGGAAGCAGTAAGTGTGTTCAGTCTTTTGATCTTGCCGAGGATACACCTAAAGTTGCACCCAATTTAGTTTTTAAGAGCTTATCCACTTTAGCCTGCCAATCAACCAGTTGAAGTCAGCCACGAGTAAGATACATGTGTGCAGAAACATGTGTATTTGATGCTGCTGTATGAAGCTGTTTATAGGGGGGGGTCTAACAGGGACAAGACCAGTGTTTCAGCACTGATTTGTCGAGACGGTTCTCCCTCCTGGTGGGATTATTTTTAATGAGGGATCAGAATCAGATTTATTCCTTGCTGCTTCCCTAATCCGGCCTGGAATGCCAAATGTTTCCCACCAACCTGTGAGACTGTAGGGGAAGATCTGCTGCTCCGACGCTGAGTGAAGGTGAAAGTGCACCAACAGGACTTTTATTTCTCACATAAAACATTAAGTTATACAAGTATAAATATTGAGGGACTTCTGCTGTAAAGCTGAAAACTCACTGTCAAGACAGATAACGCCCCTGGCTTCTCAACTAATTATCCAACCTAATGAGGAAACTGGCGTCAACCAGTGTCCGTAATTACTCAGATTACTGCAGTGTCACGGCTGGGTCATGGTGCAGGATCACAGTGAAAGAGTTGTTTGAGACGGAGCATAAGCTGGTGCTAAGCAGTAATCAGCTAACAACAATGACTGTTCATTTTCTCATCACAATTCAGATTAGGTCATGTATTCCAGGTCACTTCAGGCTACCTCACATCCATTTGTTTGTAATTTGTGTGCCTCAGTGTACTTTGTTGTCTAGTTTGCACACTGAGGAATGCAGAGAAAGAATAACAGCACTGCGTTAGGACTGTTTTCTTTTGCCCTCTCACTTCTGAGACAGCACAAATACAGCTGTGAAGGAGGTAAGCAAAGAGATACAGAAGGAAGATAAATGGTAATGGGGGGGTTAGTCTGGAGAATAAGGGGCTCACACAAAACCACAATGTAATAGTTTTTTCTAGGAACGATTTTGTAGGAGTCGTTTGTTTTTACTGACCGAAATAATTTATGGAACATTACCTGAAATTAGGAAAGGAAAGAAGAAGATGTACACCGAACAAGTATCCGAGCCAAAATACTTGGAGATTGCCTGATAACTTAATGTGTAAGGAGAGGTTTCTTTAAGAGAAAGACAAATTATGTTTTAATTGATTGCAATATTTGCCAAATATTTGTGATCTTCCACTTATTTATGAGCTATAGCAGAAGTCCAAGCTTCCAATTTTTCATTAATTGATTATTACCTTTATTAATTTATTGGCAAAACGCCATTTGATATTACACGTTTTCCAGCGCTGACTGACTTTAAACCTATGTTAAGGTCTTTTATAGAACACAAGATAGCGTAATATAATGCAACAACTCCTTTTCTCTTATTGTGTCTTTAGGTGGAACTAGTAGTTATGTCAGGCACAACACACGCCTAGCATACGCTAAGCCTCATAGAAAAAACCCTGACAAAAACTAAATAATGCCGTTAAATGAAAGCCCCGATTGGTAGGCTGAAATCGTGCAAAACCGTCAACCGTTTAATCCGTCAACTATAGTTTTAATTGTACAAAGCAAAACATGTCTCCACATAGGCTACTCTTTGCCTAAAATATATATTTAATTTAATGTTACATCCACACATGGATCAGCGTTATGTTCAAAGAGTTATACATTTCAAGGTTCCTTTTTGGTTTGATTGTGTCCGAGAGGTTAATTGTGAGATTTTGCCTTGTTCTCTCCAGGGTGACGCTGGACCTCCCGGGCCAACTGGAGCTCCTGTAAGTACCCCACATACTATGCATCACCTAATAAACATCACAGAGATTCTCAGCAGTTGCTCCTTAATTCCTCTGATGTGTAACATAGTTACAGTGACCATATTATATTTATTTCAAATAAGAGTGCCTGCTAATGTTTTAGGATGTTTAACAAAGCTCACCCTCTATGTCATCCAAACTCCGGTATACAACAGATTAAAAACCATTAAACCACGCACACAATTGTTGGATGTGAACAAAGAACAACATTTAATGTGTGTGGTGTTAACTATGATGATAGTAGTAATAAACAACACGATCATTTCTTTCTAAGACCAATTCTGCCCCTGTAAAATCAGGCCTGATATAAACGAGGTTCATGTAGCCCCCGAATGATATACAATTGACACTTACCGTCTGAATAGCACACAACAATCTGAGCCCAGGTCAGAAACCACTTCCTTCAAAAAACTTATGGTGAATCTTCCAAAAAAAAGTCAACCAGACCCAAGAATAGCAGCTCTGGAAACAAAGAGTGCAGCTGAACCAGCACACAGCTGCAACACTTCAACTTATCAGCCAAACCACCAACACCTGCACCGACCTGCAGCACATGGCGAGGCTTTGTTACAACCACTTGGCCGTAACAAAAGGGAGACACTTCATATGAATATTAGAAAAAAACAGCTACATTTCATAAAATGAAACCATTTTAGAACAGATTGTAAGCTGACAATAATATTTGTACTGTGGTGTTGGAATCAGTAGCATGTTTGATGCATAGTGGAAAATGTGTGTGTGCCAGTGTTGCAAATAGGTTTAGATAATCAGTGAGCTGCAGGCAAGGGCCTAATATCGGTAGGGGCATAACAACAACAACAACAACAACATTGTATCTACAGGGAAATAAATTATTTACACATTAATAGATCAACCACTACAATGGCCTACCATTTTTTCTATATTACCAATTTCCAAATAAATGTTTGCTGCAGTTCAGGCCATAAGGGAAATGGACTGGGTTCACACAGGATTGGAGGGGCAACAACGCACATCTCGCAGATCTCTTTAAATACAGTTTGCTCAGATATTGGTGGGGAAAATTCAGATTTAACCAAATATTATAAACAAACCTTTGTCTACAGGGTGAGTAGAGACACAGGTTATCAACAAGTTCAACTCCAAATGACACCACGGTCATCACAAGGACACATTATATATAATCTGCAGTTTGCTCTGATCTAACTGGACTGTAAAAGTGTATATCTAGCTCACAGCAATAACCTGAGGTAACCTTCAAAGCGGATTCAATGCGGCAACTCATCACGTGGTGGATATTGATGCTGTGAGTAAATCTAATCATCCCCTTGGTGTTTGTGACTTAATTTGCCTTCCTGTGTCTTCCGTAGGGCAGAGGGAGACCAGGCGCTGCAGTGAGTACACATTACTCTCTCTTTATATCACTCCTATGTGCAGAAAGATGGAGATTGTGATGTATTTGTATCGTCTTTATATAAAACAATAGCTTCTTTGCATCCTGAAAAAGTATTCTTATACTATTACAAAATAGTCACTCTGATTGTGTGATACATCGTATACTTTGATGTCATGCCAACACGGTGTCTTTTGTTTTCAGGGACTTCCTGGAACCAACGGGTTGTCAGGCGGAGTCGGACCCTACGGTTCAGCGGTGAGTATCTGTCTGACCTCTACAATTACACTTCCTGGAGGAGTCACATCCTTTTCAATGAGATGGAAAAATAATTTGAGTTATATATTATTAATGCATATATAATTCGATACCTGATTTGCTACAGAAAACTTAATTTAGGTGAAAATGTGCAGCAATAAACATACACAATCCTCCACTGTAAAAACAGTAGATGTGATAGTGATTGAGATCCAGGTGTTTTTTTTATTTTTATCTCAGCTAAACATTGCCCTAAATGACTAAATAACATAACGAGAAAATAAGATAAACCACTGAAGAGGAAGGACAATTTAGTATTATTTGGCTCGGCTCGACTGGATCATACTTTATTTTGATCAATAAATGCTTATACTTGCTCAATTTCCGTAGATGCGAAAGTATTATTTGCAATAGTGTGAAATGATTTTATTGTCTGGGTCAGAATTCATCTTTAAGTCTGGGTTAGCATTAGAAATACAGTCCCCAAACGGGTACTATACTATACAGAGATACAACAAATATTTACCACCTTTTTATAATGTGATTTGTAATTTAAGAAGTTAGAGTTCCCCTCCAAAGATGTAAAGACTTGCTTGGAATAATAATTTGTGTCTGGTGTGTGTTTTTCCACACAACAGCCTTGTTAAACATTATACTGTGACTTTGTCTCCCCTGTTGAGGAATTCAGAATCAATATGCACATATTTTTGATTTAAAAGCTTTACTAACAAGATATATCCTACTTCCCTGAAAAGTCTGCTGTCAGTGTGCTTGAGGTTTTCAATTTGCATACCATTACAAGTTGCAGTGTCACTAAACTGCTCAGAGGTACAAGTTATAAACTCAGATTTAAGGAGAGCACAGAGAAACTTTACCACTTTTTAATTGTAGAAAAGGAGTTCAATTGTCACCTGTTTAGGTGGATGGCAAAGTGTCACTCTCAAAGTGCAACTGATTGTTATAACTGAGACCAGATGACCTTGCTCAGCTGAGACTTTGATAAATGAAAAGATGAAAGTTCTCTATCAACTCATCTTGGTGCTATCTATCTGATTCTCAGGGTCCCGAGGGTCTTCCAGGTCTTCCCGGACCATCTGGTCCTGATGGACCACCAGTAAGTGCAGCTATCATGAATCACTGGTGCTGCTGGTACTATGTGATCATTGAGTCTGATAATCTGCTGTTTGCTGTTACACAAGATTTTCCCAATTTGGAATGAATGTCTGTTCTTCACAGAGGCAGGGATGTGTCAAAATGTTTCAAATGTTAATGTGTGTTGTTAATCCTCCCTCTCTTCAGGGTCTTCCTGGTACTCTTCAGGATCTTAGCGGGGACCTTCTGGTAAGTTTTCAATCACGCACCTGTGAGAGCATCATAATGAGAGCAAGCTGAAGAAGCATACGATGAGTTGCTCAATGTGTCTTCTCTGTCCTCTGCAGTGTCCTGCTATCTGCCCCTCTGGTCCCTCTGGTCCTTCTGGTATGCCAGGATTCAAGGTAATCCACTTTCTGTCATGGTTGTTGTTTGATCGTTGTCACCTTGCAGTCTCACAACACATGTCTTCTTTTACACTCATCATGTCTGTATTCTATTCTGCTCTTATAGGGTCACACAGGGCACAAAGGGGACAAGGGAGAGTTTGGGAAAAATGGAGAGAAGGTGAGTTCATTATGCAACAAATATATATATATGTTGTCTGCTATCAGTAATATAGGTTATAAAATAGAACCAGCCGTGTGCACAGTATTGTTTTTCATTGTTTTTTCTACATCAGCTGAGGAGGTCAGTTTTTCGGTCCGATTTGGTTTGAGGAAAAAACTGTTAGCTTGAATTAAACATGGTGGAAGGTGTTTGCATCGATCCTAATCATGGCGTAGTTACAGAAATCATGTTTAACTTTAGTTAACATTAACATATAGGGCATGGGCTTGGCAAAGGTCTTCGCTCACCGAGTGCCCTTCTAGTTACTGAACAACTTATCCTAACTTTCTTCCTCTGTCTCTAGGGTGACGCTGGACCATCCGGCCCACCAGGTATTCATGGCACCGTGGGTCTGCAGGTGAGTTACATAAAGATTATTCACAAGATTTTTCATGCATTGCCCACAAAGAAGTTTGGTCCATCAGTATATTTAGTACAGCTTACCCAGGAAGTTTTGAGACACAATCTGAGTTGTTTATGATGTTTTAAAATGCCTCTGATGTTGTGTTTCAGGGTCCACGTGGTCTCAGAGGTTTACAAGGCATAATGGGATCTGTAGGAGGCAGAGTAAGTTATTTTTTTAGAATGACCACCTTATTCAGCTTCTTATCAGTCACAATGCAGCCACCTAAAATATGTGTACTTACAGTTGGATTCCTTTGACCTCTCTTTGTCTCTAGGGCCTGCCTGGTTTCAGAGGAAAACACGGCATTGTCGGCGTCATTGGAAAGACAGTGAGTCTCTCCTTGTTTGTACCACATCTGCAAAAAAAAAAAAGTCTTTGGTGGTAATTAACAGCCAGGATACACGGCTGGTCCCATCAATGAATAGCTGTTTGTGTTTCATCTGATGTCTCCAGGGTGACGTCGGAGAAAGCGGACCTCAGGGATTCAGAGGACCCAAAGGAGGAATTGTAAGAAGAAGACTTTAATTAAGCTTCACAAGTATATACAAAGAAGTATACATGACACGTTAATGTATCTTTCAACAGGGTAAAATTGGTCCCAAAGGAGGCCCTGGAGGATCCGGACCCAAAGGAGAGCCTGTGAGTGTTGTATATCTGTCTATGAATTATACATTTCTAATACACACCACCTCTCAGTAACATGAGGATCATATTTGATGTTTTCTACAGGGTATTCCTGGCAGAGATGGCAAAGATGGTTCTCAAGGATTAGATGGCGAGAAGGTAAGTTGCACCAATTTCGTTCTGTTTTCTTTAGGCTTTGTTGAAAATCCAAATAAATTGATTGTGTGATTGAAACTGATGTCAATGTTTTTGTGCTGATAGGGTGATGCTGGTCGCCATGGGGTTGTTGGAGAAAAAGGACCAAATGGACTTCCTGTGAGCATTTTGAAATAGACTTGGATGTTCCCTGATGAATTACAATAAAGAGAATAGTTGAAAAACATTCTCCAGTCTAAGTAGCGGTTTGATTCTTCTGTTACAGGGTCTTCAAGGAAGGGCTGGAACAAAGGGGTCTAAAGGAGGAGTTGTGAGTATTACAACAAAGTAGAAACAAGAGTGTAAACTGACTAGAGGACCATGCAGGACGACTTTAATGTTCTCCCTTCTTTGAAATCAGGGTGACTCAGGAAAAGGCGGTGAGACGGGACCCTCTGGAGAGCCAGGTATTCCTGTATGTATCTGATGGGTTTCTTTGGGGGGGGTATTATCAGGTCACAGTTTCTTTGACATGTCACTTAACCCCACTATGTTGCGTCTGGACTCTAAACCTTCCTCACCATCTGTCCTCTCCTTTAGGGTGACATCGGCATCCCAGGAGAGAGGGGGTTATCAGGAGCCAGAGGAGTGGCTGTAAGTTAATGTCCACACTACAGACTAAGTTGTATATGTGGTCAAATTGCTGCACTGCTTATTTAGCTAGAAGTAATTCATAAGCATCTACTTCATGGAATTTATAAATAATAATTTGCTTCATTTGGGAGCCAATTCATTAGACTTGCTGCTGCACAGATGGTCTGCTGAATTCAACCCATTTATAGACTTTCCAACATTTTGACGTGCGCTGTGCTAATAACCAGCATGAATATAAAGAGCATCTATCTTAGACCACAATGCATAGCAGCATACAGCTAAAATACAAGTAGAAAAATGCAGGATAATAAACTACTGCCCTTCAGGGTTAAAGATATTCCACTGCAGCTGATACAGTCGCTTGCTAAGTTAGTAATGAAGGGCCAGTGATGAGAGCAGGTATTCATAAAAGAGGAATTTATAAACAGGGAGGTCATTGTTTTTCACATCCAGCCCTGTGGCGAAGAAAAAATGAGATAAAACAACATGGGAATTACACTTCTCTCGAACACGGCACTGCATAGCATGCTGCCCTCCACCTACTGTAAGCTCTTCATGGTTTCATGACATGACTATATCTGTGTCCAACAGGGAGGAATTGGACCAGTGGGCAACGCTGGATCCCAGGGAGTGAAAGGTTTCCAGGTCAGTTGTACGACATTATCAACTATTATCAGGTTATTTTTTATATCTTTTGGGTAAACTCACTGTGTGTGTGTGTGTGTGTGTGTGTGTGTGTGTGTGTGTGTGTGTGTGTGTGTGTGTGNTACATTACTATATGTGCTATGGAACAAATACCATGGTACTATAAAATATACCATGGTACTATCTGTCAAAAAATACTGTGGTACATGTACCGTGGTAAATATACCATGGTACTATGTTACGAGTACTATGGTAACATTTCATATGGCTGTTGGAGGGCTTGATAACCCACTACCCCTGGCAACATAACAATTACCATGGTAAATACATATGTTCTTGTATTTGTGTAACACCTGTATCAAACTGTAGATACTGTAGAATGTACAATGGTAGGCTATATCAAATAAAAATAATGGACTGAGGCAAATACAAATAATACATGGACTCAACATGTATTTACATGTATTAACATTTTTAGTTTATACTACCGAACATACAATATTGCGTGAAAAAACATAATGGCCTAACGTGGCCGAACAAATTGATTTTTTAAAAATGTTTTCCTTTTGAGGATCTTCGCCGAGTTGGAGAGTTTCTGGCGTATGTAGCCCTTGATCTCCGCCTCTGTCTTCTCTTTGAAGACAGATTTAACTTCACCTAAAGAGAGAAAGAAATAAAGAAAAGGGGAATTAACAGATGAAGAAACAAATTACAAAAACAAACAGACAGTCAGGTAGACAGCAGGGATGCAAACTCATCAGGTATGAAAAAGGTGACAAGGATCCAAGCCCCCCGACCACCCCAACCCACGGAAAATCGGCTTTAAATTTAGGAATAACAGATGATTTTAGCAGTCAGAACAACTAAAGCAGCAGTGTCACTGCTGCTTTAGTTGTTCTGACTGCTAAAATCATCTGTTATTCCTAAATTTAAAGCCGATTTTCCGTGGGTTGGGGTGGTCGGGGGGCTTGGATCCTNTGTAGGGGCTCCTGTGATGATTCGGCTGATAACGAAAGCCTCGGCTGGTGTTGTTCATGTGTGCCGTCTTCACCCGCGGACTCGGAGAGATAGAGGGGTTTCACTGAGAGGGAGCTGGCCATGTCTCTAAATAAATCACAACATTGATTTATGAGTGCAGCAGGTCTCAACACACACACACACACACACACACACACACACACACACACACACACACACACACACACACACACACACACACACACACACACACACACACACACAGTTAAACCATGAGTACACTATGCGCAATTCCACTTCACTTCTACAGAGAGAGCACAGCTTTGGGCTTTCCTCCTTCAAACTACTTTTTAAGGTATTATTCAGTCCACTGTTACTCTAAACTCAAACATACTTAATACGGACAGCATCTTAAGAAGGAAACAAACTTCAAAGTGGAGAAAGGACTTTTTGAATGAAAACCAATCACTCTGTATTTCAGTTTGAACCATAGACTGGGTTTGATCATGAAAGTAACTGCCTGTTTGAGTAAAATGATTGATATTGTGGAAGGCGTGTGGTGCAGTGGGTTGTGCGTTGGTGTTCGGATCACGGGGTCACAGGTTCAAACCCCACTGCAGTCAGCATGTCATTGTGTCCCTGGGCAAGACACTTCACCCCAAATTGGTCCTGTGGGGCAGTATTGAGTATGTAAGTCGCTTTGGATAAAAACGTCTAACAAGTGACATGTAATGTAATGTATTGGGAAGTTTCTGTCCCACCACACAGTGACGTTTTAACATAGAAGTGGTGAGTAACTTCCTCGCCGGGACAGCAGCAGATAAACAGAGAGGAAGTAATAAATTCTCCCCGTAGTGCCTGTTTATGTTCACCGTTATGAGCCGTTGTATTATTATTACCACTACTGTTATCTTGCTGTGCGGCAGGGTATACTGCCTTTGTTTCACATATGCGTTTTTTTATGAAAACCAATAATGTTTTACTAACTAGAGTAATATTTATTTTGCGTCTGACACAAATAAGTCCCAGCAAAGACGAATAACTTTCTTCGTTAAAGTGAGGTGTTGCAGGAAGATGTTGCTTGTTGCTGCAAATATCAGCTCCCTAAAAAGGTCAGAAGCTCGGGCCGCAGCCTTATATCAGGAAGACAGTTCAACCTAAATCTGTAATCAACAGTTTTCTGGAACAGACCCAGGAATCTAGACATATCCAAAGATTCACCCCTAACTTGATCACCTGAAAAACATTAAACCTGCAAGGACAGAGGAAAGACATTGCATTAAAGCAAAGTCTTGATGCCTTAACAAGAAGTATGAGCGAACTAACGCAGAGTTAATAGAATACCGTTCAGAATGTAACCTGTAATTAAGGCATGCACAATATGAGAGAAGCTTGCGATAATTTTGTTGAATATTGCAATAATGTAATATTATTGTAATTGCAAAACTTTTATATAACTTGGGATAAATAAATGGATATAAAAATGAACTCAGTTCTCCCTTACTCCTGCTTTTATGTTTACAGTGAAAATGCATTCAATTGCTTGTTGATAAAAAATAAAAAAGGGTAACTATTTCAAAAGAAAATAGACCCCAATTTAAAAATGAAGTGACATTTGAATGTGCAGTTTTCAACTGATAACTCTTTCAACCAATTAAAATAAATTCCTGAGTGCAATATCGCAGACTATCAGATGTGTTTGTTGCACAAGTTGATCTTACAATGTAATGTAGAGGACTCAGTCATGAATAAAATTAAAATTCTTCTTTTTTTTTTTACTTTGCTTGACCCCCAGTCGGCTTGTACTGCTTGCATGAAGTCACCCTGGAGCAGTACTGACTTCACGAAAAGCAACTCCTGTTAAGAAGTATTTTTAGATTAATGATGTATGATTACTGTCTGCATTTTTTTAACAGCAGTACTTTAAAAAGCTCACTCTGCGATCCATTAAATTAACCAAAGACCTTTTAAATGAGGCAAATCAAAGAGCGAGCGAACAATTAATACCGCTCTGAGAATAGCATCAGCTGAGCTGACACAAAATCTAAAGCTCAGTAGCGAGCAGCGGTCCAGATTAACCCGATAACTCAAGGGAGGAAAAAGTGAAGACTAGAAAACTTAAGCATGCTGAGAAAGGTTCTTAGCTAATTAATTCATATAATGTATCCATGTATGATAATATCCAGTAGGTCTATATAGAGAGTGTGTGTATTTTTAAGGAAGCAGCTTTCAATCTTATCTTAACAACAACACGCCACATTGATAGTGGCTTGAATGTGTTTTCATTTCAGCTATAGTTTTGTTGATGCTCGGGAAATGTCTTATCATACACACATACACACACAAATCTCAAACAGCAGCTTGCATGCGCTGACTGGGATTTTGCTTGTTTCATCCTTTTGATCAGGAAAAAATTTCAAAATGAATGTGAAGTGTTTGAAAGTCTTCTTAATGTTCAAAGTAACTGCAACCAGAGAAAAATAATGTACCTGGGATAGATGGAGGCTAAAAAAAACAAAGCAGCTGGAGTTGTCAGCAATTCTACTATCAGTGCAGACATTATGGAAAATTAGCCAGAGCAGAAAGAAAGGACAAAGCAAGGCTGGTCTGTTCTTTTAATGTTCTGAAAGCCGATACAATAACTGTGCTTTCATTTATGGGATTTTTCAGCGGCCTTCTTCGTCCATCCTTGTAATTTTATTTTTTCATCTTTGTAGAGAATAGTGAATGCATATATTACCCTTCACTGTTGAGCGGGTGTGTTTTAATGAGTATTATCTCTGCATGCAAGGTTTATAAAATTATATTCAAACTTAACAGGAACTGCACAGTTCTGAAATGGCATCGATTAGTGTGTGATATTTCAAAGCCACATTTAACAAAGGCTGCTATCATCCAGCCTTTTTCTTTTGGATGGGAGAACTTTGTGGGATTCACAGCAGAAAACAATGTGATAGTCGACTGAAAGGTCTCCTCAGCTGCAGACGGACAAAGCGGATAGATTTGAAATCTCCGACATCACCTCTGTACCCAAGCTCAATGCTGCACTATTCAGTTTCATTTATGATCCGAAATGCTGTCCTTTTCCGTTTCCTTAGAGAAACATGCCGAGGATCAAAAGGAGGATCACTAGAAGTTATATTTCCTCGAGTCACATCTGATTCAACATGAATTGTTATACTTATTTATTTTCCAGACTAAATCACAATTTTTTTTAATGAGTTTAAGGAATAAAAAAGTGCTTTAAGAGTGTTTTATCAGTCAAAGCATGCTTGCGTTAAACTGAATCAGATGGGTATACTGTGTAAATAACGCAGACGCAGCTAACAGTGCTATTTGCACCTGGGCTACACATTAGATACTGTTTTGGATGTCGAGGTATTTATGGTATAACTTCATTCCCTTGTGCTGTTGCGTCACATTTTAATTCCCCTATGGTGGATGTATAAAGGCACATCTTATCTTAAGCGTTAGCTAATCTTAGAAGAAGTCTGCTAATTGGACCATTTCATTTGAATTATACAAACAGTGAGAAAACATACTTTGTTGGAAAGGGTATATTTTGTGTTTAATGTATCTTACCTTTTATAGTTGTATCATTATTAAAGATATTGCGCGATTCTGGATCATCGTGAATCCCCCTTTTGAGCGTAGGCGTCTCGCTTTACGGCATGAAGTGACGATGTTTACGTATCTTTGGGGGTGGGTGTAAATAGCCGAATAGCTGCCATGTGTCTATTTTCACCCGGGTGCAAATAGACACTCCGTATAAACAAATTCATATTTAAAAAGGTTGTAGCAGCCATTGCAAAGTCCTAGCAAGCAATTTTAAACAATTGTGTCGCCTCATGAGGGAAGGTAAGATATTCAAATATATATTGAAGAGATAGAAAATGTCTCATGTGTTTGCAGTTTAAAGACAGAGGGGAAAGCAATATAAAGGTAGAAGCACTAAATGGTGATAGAAATAAGCCAAAGAAGCCAAACAGACGTAAAAAAGCAAACTCTCTAATTAAACTGTACTCATTAACAAAAGAATAAAAGTTATTTTTTTCATATACTGTATATATAAAAGGCTGGAGTCATGCAACTGAACAAATCCAAAAAGTGCAATGTTTTTCCTCCATTGTGAGGGAAATAAATCAGTGCCTGGTGGGAAACACTGACTGTCTCACATTAGTGTCCCACAAGCATCTGCTCAGTTATAGTTTTGCCTCATTATTGAGTTTATATTCCTTTTTTATCACCTCTATGCGTCACTTTTTGTGGTGTAATTTTCAAGAAGGCTTGCAGTTCTTGCTTATGGCTCAAACGTTACAGAAATCAAATTAAAAACATTTATTCTCTCCAGTTTAGTGGTAATCTGTTATTGGGCGACCTGAGCTTTATAAAGTGAAAACACTTGGTGTATGTCGTGTGCCCGGTGTTGAGTTTGAGAAGTGAGAAAGTCCTCGGCATTATGTTCTTCCTTTCATGTCATGTAGTTTTGTCATGCATATTTATATTGTGGAAGCTGGTGAGAGATGTGTTTATATGAATACATAAGAGAGAAACAGAAGGGTCTTGTACGTTGTCAAAAAGTGTGCTACAGCAAGTGTCGTGTTTAAAGTTTCATGACAAAGGCTAGGGCCTAAATCAAATTGCTTGAATAGTATATCAGACAAGCAAAAGAAACAACCACTATGGGAAAAACTGAACAATCGTAATGTGTCAAAATCAACAAGCTCATCCCATAAACATAATCACTTGGTTAGAGCTCTTATGGGGCAACGGTAAACACAGTATACCACTTAGAGACCATTTCAGCAGGCTCAGTGCATCCTCACAGTCAGACTACAGCGGAGTCAGTCATTCGAACACGATGCTTATCTGCAGCTCTCTGCTGCCAACGTTGCTCTGTCATGCAAAGTGGTGCCAACTTCCATGAAGTATTCAAAATCTGTTTATGTGCTGTCAGAATCAGGAGCTTCAACCTGTGAGGTTCATCCATGAAAAAATGGAAATGAACCCTCTGGCTTAAAAAGATTGAAAAAAAAAAACACAACCTGTAATAAAACAAGAATAAATTACCTGTGCCCTTAGCTTTTAAAATGGAATATGGGGAAAACACATTTGCATGTTGCAATTAAATGAAAAGTCGAAAAAAAGGTTGATAATGTGCTTGAGCCGAGTAGACTAATTTGGAGAGTATAGCAGGTTATGTATATTGCGTATTATATAAAGTTTTATTTAGTAGCAATATGCCACCAGCTCCTCCTCTCACACCACCTCCTCTTTGCTCGTCTCCTTGTCTCCTGTGCTCCTACTCGTATGTGAACAGAGCTCTGAGGGTTCACTGAAGATCACATCTGAAAGAGAAGCCACTGGGTGCATACGCTATCGGCTGCTGCTCCGTGTGTGGAGATGTGGCATTTCAAAGAAGACGAGCTCACGTGTTAAAAAAAGACGAGGTTTAAGGAGGGGTGGGGGGGCAGTCGAGCGACAAAAGTACGTCAGCGTACCGTGCGCCAACAAAGTGCCTTGCGCCTGCCTGCTGTGGGGGGTGGGGGGTGGGGGGATGCGACCTGTCAGAGAGTGAGGGGGCTGGCTGAATGACTTCACATCACCCTTTCAGCTCCAGCAACTTCCCATTTATATTGTAATGCAAATCCATGGCCTGTCCCAGATGGTGCTTTTCCAGCATCGTGGGTGCATAGAAATATGATTATTTATCCCAAGCACTTCTAAAGTCTTTAATGCACCGTCCTCCGTCTGCTTCAATGCCCTCCTTCCACTGGCAACGCTTTAAAGTCTTTGCAGTATGATGCGTCCCTCCCCGATGGTAAAAGAGCTCAAAAATAGGAATAATAGATACATTTGGGGAGAACTTAACAAGGGAGTTCCTCGGAAATTACAGAAAAGTAGGAGATAAACACACCTTAGTACATAAGTCAAGGAAAGAGGGAGAGAGAAAAAAGACGTAGGTAGATCATTTTCTTGGCTGAGCATTAGGCTAAGAGGAATAAGCAGTAATTCTCATGTCTCTAAAGTGCTTTTAATCACCTCGGCTGAGCAAAATATAGTCCACAAGCCCCTATCAGTGCAGAACATCATGTTCCTAAAAGCACTGAATAAATTCGCCCATCTCTGCCCATGTGTGAAATGGAGACAACCTTTTTTTTGCTGCATATATCAAACAGCTCTGAATGTGTTTTGTACAATGGGGCTGTATTTTGGAGCTGTTTTTTAAGGAGATATGACTGAAGTATAACAATAGATAATGGAACTTCAAGGAATATTATATATCACTTATCTGAGTCATAAATATGCCGCCTTTGGAAATGTTTTTTATCTCCTCTAAAAGAATGTACAAGTCCATTTTTAATGCGAAAGCACTTTGTATTCATTCTTGATGGGATCATCTGAGCGAGGTTATGCACAATAGCATAAACAGCAGAGCTGGAGGTTTATAAGAGGGGAGCAGGCACATCCTGAGGGACTGAGTGTGCTGCAAACAGCTGTGTACTATAACGCGCTTCATTATAATGTCAGCATTTCTATACTTTCATCATAATGCCTTCACCAATCTGTCGCATGCCTCAGAAGCATTCAGGTAGCACTTGACTTGACACTTCCTACACACAGTAATTAAATCAGATCAACTCCTGCAACCCCTGCCACCTCATTATATGTGTTCTGACAGGCATTTATCTCCAACTTCAGCAGCCTTGACACAAAGTTTGAGTAAGCAGAGAGAAAAAGATACACTGAATTGTGAGGTTAACATGAAGACGATGGCTAGCAGTCAAAGTCTGCAGGTGGTGTAGCATGGGGACACTATTTTCCATCACATTAATCATTCTCAATTCAATTGAAATAAAGAAAGAATCATTTATTTTAATCCTCTACTGCCGTTTTCCAAAGCCTTGGTTTCAGTTTATCGTAAGGATGTCACCTAAAGCTCTGGTCAAGTCTGGTCATGCCGAAAAAACATCTGTATTTAGTTGAACAGGAGCGTATGTTGTTAGAAATTAAAATGTATTCCAATGATTGTATTTGAACCCCAGGGAAAAATGTTAACTGTTTATGGTTCAAGCGGAAATCTATACTGAAAATAGAACAGAAGGTTTGTTGGGATATTAAGTAGCCTAAAAAGGTTGCATTTGTATACATTTATTGAATAAGAAATCTATAAAAATCAGTTAAGCTCTTCTGGATATTTGCATTCACCTTTTTCTGCGTAGGCCTCGTAGCTCCTCTGTAAAGCTCAGACAGATATCCAAACATCAACAAAGTTGCTTTTTCAAACATCTTTCTATAACTAACCCTTCAGAATACCTTTTAAATGCTTTTATTATTTGGCTGTGCAGTACTAGAACAAGAATATAATCAAACAGTGTTTCCGCTGTAAGACTGGCTTTGTATCTGTGACCTTGGCGGTTTTGCATGTTCAGCACAATGTGAAGGAGGCGGGTCAATTCACATCCGGAAACAAATGAAGGGGAAGTTAATATCAATCTAACTGCGTCACATTAATGCAAAAATGCAGATACATTTTTGGCGCAGATGTTTTATTTAAGCATACCTGCATGATATATACATAATTGTTTGGATTCCTAGTTGATCCAAACACATCTCCTCACTCTCAGTCTAGCCATGCAGATCGTTTTATTCTCCGATGTGTTCGGATGTTTGCTGCTGAAACTTCTGCCATGACCTCAATATGATGGAGGTGAGCAGAATTTTGTTTTTGCAGCTGAAAACATGAAAAACAAACTTAAATTTGAAGGGAAGAATCTACAACTTTCAAAAGAAAAATACTGATTACTGAGGGTCATCCAAAAACCTTGGCATCAACAGCAAGAAAGTATTCCCAATGAAAACTGTTATATGTAACGTATACCTGTGCTTTAATGGTTTCTAATATTGTAAATAGCATTATGTTCAGGGGATTAAAGCGTCGTCATGGGTTTGACATGTGAAATACACCATGAGTTTGTCAACTATTAGCAGCCTGTTTAGAATTCAGCGTCACGAACACTAGACAACATGTTGACACCACAGACAATTTAAAATGTTCTGTAAATCTGAATGCAGCTGCCTATTTCAAAAACAAACATGCCTTATTTTTCTCAGGCTTTCCAAATAGAGCAAATTAAAGTCAATCTAACTTTGAGCAAATGTAAATGGCTTAATGGAGCTGTCCTCTGTAATTGCTCCACTCAGTCAAGCATTCATTAGGAGCTGGGGAGGTTGGCTACTCTGCACTGTTTATACATAAAGCTCAATAGATTTTCTCCTCAAACAACTTGCACTTCACTTCAGATTCTCCCCGTGTGATTTCTTCTTTCTGTGAGCCACAAAACAAAAATATTTACAACCTCTTTGAAGGGAACCTGACATATATTTTAACCTACGATTAGGTTTTGAATCACAAGTGTCATCACAAAATGATGTTGATTGCTTGTTCAATGATACATTATTTGCAGATATCACAAAGTCTGCACCGATACAACTTTTATTGAATTACTTCAGGGGTCTGCAATCAATATGAGACATTTAAAAAAGGGGTTACATTTATATAAATGTATCTCAAATGTGATTTGACAGGTTTGTTATTTGTCTCTCTTCCAGACATTAACGTAAATAAATAGTTATTAATCGATTACCTCTGTGCTATCTGTCTTTCTGCCTGGCGCTCGGATGCTTGCACTGTTTAGAAATAAGGTACACCCATGCCCAATTTAAAATAAATGCTCATCTTATCAGTCCAGATCAATGGATTGTTCCACCCCTATCTTGATCTCATGGTTTCATTTACCGTTGGTGGAGCTGCAATCATAGCACAACCCAAACAGGGTTCAGATAAACTACAGTATGTCCCGGTGTTTCCAAAAGAGAGCAGAAAACGAAGGAAAACCGAATGTCACAGTAACTTCCATTCATAGAAGGGGTGGTGAATTTCATCACTTCTAAAAGCACAAGTAATCAAATCCATTTCAGCCCCTTTTCCCATACCTGACCACAATACAAATTGCAGAATAAAACACTGCCAACCGCTTCAGCTGAAATCACAAGCTCTCTTGCCGATTAGGTTTTTTTCTTTTTTCCTTCTTTCAAAACCAATTGTTTTCCACAAGAGGCGAGACTAAAACTAACATCTTTATTCAATGATCCGGCCATCAGAGATTATTGTGTTCATCACGCCTGGCCTGTTGTCATCCACATCCCTCTCCAAACAGTTTACCTGCCCACACAAAGAGCAGCAGTTGGCCCTAAGCCTGGATGGTCCCCATAGTTTCATGTTGTTCACCATCTGTGCTCAAGGCAAAACCTCACTAGGGCCATTAAAGTGAAGGGCCAATGAAAGAGATGAGCCTGGGAGGTGACTGGGAGGTTAATGCAGCGGCTACTCCGCAGAGCACAGTTAGAGAGGACGGCGGACACAGAAATACAGTTTGTATAAAGGACATTGGTAGTGGAGTGTGTGGAGGTCGCAGCTGACATTTCCGTTAGCCCCACCCCCCTTAGTTACTGTTGCTATGCCTGTCAAGCTTTCTGTTCTGGCGCAGCACATAATGCCATTTTCGATCATATCAGTGGCACTTTTTCCACTCGAAAAATTTGCAACATCCTCAACAATGTAGACAAAAGAGAAAAAGGCAATCCTACTTTGAAGGGAAAGTTAGAGGGAAAAAAAGAAATACGGAGCCGCGGGCTGGAAGATGCAGACAGCAGCATCCTCACCAGCTCATGTTCATAGAAGACATGGAAATGAAGGAGCATCAGGGTAGAGCCCTTGTGTCAGAGTACAATATTGTAAATAAACTTTTAATTGAAATATTGTTTGTTTTATAAGGAATCTTGGGTGGTTTGAAAACTTAATGTAGAACATTATACTTGGACAAGCAACAGTCGAAAGATTACATTTGTAATAACCGTGTTGTTTGGCAGACGTTATGCTATCACAGTTTGGCAGAAGTTGCTGGAGTGGAAACTTCCTCAAACCAAACAAACAGCAGGACAGACTTACTCTGTTTTTACTCCAAACTCTGACATGCCAGCACCTTGGTTACCATGCAGGGGAATTTTAGTGTTTTTAAAGAGGCCCTATTATGCTTTTTGTGGTTTATCCTTTCCTGTATGTTTTTGTGCATGTACATGGTCTGAAAAGGCTAAAATCCCTACGTGACACCACTTTATAACACTTGGCTTCTATGGGTTAGCGCTCCAACACATTGTACATGATAAGCTAAGGGGTGGGACATCTCTAAGCGGTTGACCAATCACAACAGAGTCGACCAGCTAACCAATCTGAGCAGACTGGGCTCTGGTTTCAGACAGAGGGTGAAAAGAAGCGCTGCAGCACAGGCAGTGTGAGACAAAATAGAGACCTTTTTGAACATTAAAGCATGTAAACATGTCACAGTAAAGGCACAACACCCAAATATGGAACCTAAAAAGGAGCATAATAATAGGGCCTCTTTAAATGACCTGTACCTACGATGCAGTTAGCTCCTAGCATGCACAGTAACTCTTGAAATAACTCTTAGTACTCGACAATAAGCTATTAGGCCTTGCAGGCTAATTTCCTCATTTAATTAAGGACCCTAATGCAAAATGAACATAACAGTTTCAAGGGAAATTATACAGAAAAATAAATATATATTTCCAGCTACACACCGATTATGTTTACTCGGATACACAAACGAATAAAGAAACAAGACAATAGTTATATTTATTGGAGTGTGATCAGATTTTGTGAGAAACAAATAGTTAGTATGTGCTTATTATTATCAATTTAGACATTGTTATTGCACATCCCAATGTCAAGATGAATACATTGATAAGATTATAATTAAAGACGATCAATTATAACATTAACCTATTGCTTGAGCAGCTTATATTAGAGATAGAAACCTGATTTAATCCATTGATAACACTATTGCTGTATTGTAAATGTTTTGGTTATGGACAACGCCCCCAAACTGTTAAAAGGCTGAATATCTGTCAAACATAAGACCTATGCAGACTGCTTTAAAGTTGAAATGTCTGAAGTTAAAGGCCTCGTAACGGTTTCAAAGCCATGATTGGTCAGTCGCTGTTCAGGTTGACCAATTCATTTGTCAAAATTAGGAGATTAGGCAACTCTTACACAAATAAATAGTTAAAAACATAGGAGAGGATAGATTTAGAGGCAGTCTGGAGCTGAAAACGAACGAAATAAAGCTACCAGGGAAACATAATAATCCCCAAACACAACGAAACAAACCTTAATCCATATAGTATGGCATCGCCTGCAGCTTCTTACTACAGTTGTTTCTTTGTTTTAGGAGGTTTGATCACCCAAAGCCCAAACAAAGTGAGAACACGGTGTGTGTGTGTGTGTGTGTGTGTGTGTGTGTGTGTGTGTGTGAGTGTGAGAGAGAGAGAGTGTGTGTGTGTGTGTGTGTGTGTGTGTGTGTGTGTGTGTGTGTGTGTGAAAATGAGAGAGTGTGTGTGGGTGTGTGTGTGTGTGTGTGTGTGTGTGTGTGTGTGTGTGTGTGTGTGTGTTCAAACAGCAGGAAGTGCAGCATCACCATCTACAGGCCAGAAGTGAGGCGACACTCCGGAGCCGTATCAACAGCTGCCTTTTACATAGTGCCTGCTCACACTGTAGACACACATTGTGCCTACAAACACCACTTTCAGAATCAATTACTCACACTCTGCAGGTCACAGAACAGTTCATTACTGTTCAATTAACAG